ACACTACAGCAGGCATAGGCAGCCTACTGTCCTTCAGATATCTTGGATTAAAGTCCCATGAGCCATAGCCAGCATGTCCATTGGCCAGACTTATGAGAGTTTTAGTCCAAAATATCAGGAAGACATTGGCTTGCATATCCATGCATTGGTTAATATTTGGAATTATATAGTTATCTGGTAGAGACTTCCCTGCCCAGCTCAGAAGCTGTGACAAGGATTGGACTAGGACCTGAGTGTAAAATAGATATTCTACACCTCTGACTTGGCTTTAATGTTTCTGTTAATTGTGCAGAATCTGGAATTTTCTCATCAGGACTGGGAAGGCAGGAAAAAAATAAGGATGAGATAATGAGGCATGCAAAATTGTGGGATAGTGTCAGTGGAGCACTGTAGAAATCAGCGTCAGCATCTTGCTTATTAACCATTGCAAATTCCACATAAGCTCCTAATACTTTTGGAATTTTCATGTGTTCATCATCTTCCAAGATTCTCATGGAATCTTCTTAGGATTCTTACATCTGCCTCTGAGGACTAGAAAGCTGCAGTTTTGTAGACTAAGAGGTGAGATTTATAATATTCCCAAACCCCAGACTTTACAGGGCACAAATGTGGACCCAGAGAGTTCTCAGTTTGCTGAGCATTGTAGTAATTTGTGATTCTCTGGCCGAAAACTTGCCCACACTGCTAAATGCATGTTTAAGATGGAAGCATCCAGTCTGCTGAATCAGGATATCTGCACAAAGTTTTCTGTGTGTTGGGGTCAACAAAACCAGCCTACTAAATGAACCATCTAATTGTCTGACTTGGTGATAGTGTGAACACTGATCATATGATTGGGAGGCAATAGTGTCCGAGCTCAACCCAGATGCCCCCTCAGCTTGTCTGTAGGACAGCCTTCAACTTCCAGCATTCCTCTCCTTTAGCCATGCTGGCTTGGCCTGATAGGAGTATATTTGCAAAATATCCAGGGAGCTCCAAGTTGGAGAAGACAGCTGTAGGAGATTAATTCTGTTGCTTCCAGGTTACAGGTATGTGAGGGGATGTCGCACAGAGGTGGGTAGAGACCTGTTCTCCCCTGCAGAGGAAGGCAGGACGCGCTCCAACGGAGCAAAGCTCAGGGAACCCAGGTTCCATTTGAATGCCAGAAAGCACTTCCTGATGGTTGGGACCCCGAGGGTGTGGAATGGGCTTCTACCCATCGGTGAGGGTGTTCAAAGATAGGCTGGGCATGCACATGATGGGCATGTCATGAGCGGAGCCGGCTGGAGCCGGGGGTCAGACTGGATGGCCCGGGAGACCCCTTCTGACTCGCTCTGTTTCTCTGTTTCTATGTATCCAACTATGCAGCTTAATGCTTGGTAACCACCTTTTCTCTGTTCTTGTTTTTGTATTTGTACTGAACTGCACAAAATCAAGGCTGGGTTTTTGTTTGCTTTTTAAAGGTCAGTTGGCAACCGTAAATGTCAGAGACAATGGCATTATGCCATTATGCTGCACAAAGATAATTGTATTAGTAAAGGGAGTTAGATGAGTAGAGATGGTTAAGATGAGGTCCACTGGATTCTTATCCCTTTAGACAGGAATTGTGGACCATCGGATAAACTCAGCTAAGCCATGCGGGGTAGCTGGTTGGTTACCAGTACATTTGTTTTCATTGATATCAGAAATGTTTCACAATGTCTTCCAGATTGCAAAGCTTATTTCTTTGACCTGAAAATGGAGATAAATAATACATGATGCTGCTTGAGCTGCTGGCTGCTTCTGTTCCTGGTATCGTAAAACCAGGTCCATTTTCTTAAGTTGGGATTTTATATTAAGCAGAATTGCATCTCCATCCCGAACAGGAGGGGCTTTTGATCAGGGGCATTCTGCTGTGGAAAGCCAAGCAAAAAAAGCTTGGAATACGCGTGCAGGCTATCCATGCACTCTGAGTTAAACTTGCATTAGTGCATTTTAACCTTGCAGTCTAATGAGCAGCCAGGGGGATTGTGCCACGTAGCAGCAGCCTTTGTTACTTTGCAGCTATTTGCTCTGAGTAATTTCTCTGCAAATGCAAAGAATCGGTATAGTCTTAACAAATCACAAGACAAGACTTTATTAAAGGTAGGCATTTCCAACTCCGACTTCCTCTGTGGTTTATAATGCATGTTTGCATGAAGCTGTTTAAGAAGTGCACTTAATTTTTAACGCTGATTTTGAGCACATTTTTAACTGGCCTCGTTCCTGTGCCTTTAATAGCAGCCTGGCATAGAAAAAACTAGGAGATGAAGAATTCCCCCACCACTGGCTGTTAAATGTCCACATATCAGGTTGCTATTAAACATACCAATTAAAGGCAGTGATGGCTGGCGACTGCTGCCACTTGAAGGCATAAGATTGTGAGACGAAGGAGACAGCAGTGATCGAATAACAGTTTTTGTTATCAAGATCATCATTATTACTAAACTAATGCTGCTACAGCTAATACTTTAGTGTGCTTGCTGAGATGGATTTTGCAAAGCATTGATAAAGGAAGATTGATAAAGATGTAGGAAAAGAAGATTGGGAAATGAGGTACATGGCAAAGATGTGTAATGGCAAAGGAGAGTTCTGCAACTGTATTAAAATGTCAAAATGAACAGATTTCCAGCAGCACCAGGAGTTGCACTGAGACAATGTATATAGTAAATGTTTGCTGTGTTCAAGGAAGAGGACGGTAAAGCTTTTTAGACAACTCCAATCCATTAAAGGAAAAAAAAGAAAAGAAAAGAATTGTCACGTATTATCCAGTACAGGAGAAGCCACTAGGGGAGAAGAGGTGGCTCCCATCTCCCAGCCCCCCTCCTTTGCCCGCTAATGGCAAAAGGAATGATTATTTTAGGGAGAGAATTAATAGAATCTTAATGAGCCTTACTCCCAGTGCATTGTTCACTTCACACTTGACAGCAGCTTTGTGGATCAGAGTGCAGAATGTGTCAACTTCTTACCAGGAGCTTTAATATATACATACATATATTTTTACTGAAAGATCATAATGTTTCCTCATTATTAAAACAACCACAGAATTAACTTTTGCCTCCAGGGAGAAACAGATGGCAGTTTGATGGCCTCATTTTTCCTTTCTTTCCTTTTTACTAAGATTAATGTTTTATACTGACTGATGCAGTCTATTATATTCTCTTCATACTCTTCATATTGCTGGAGCAGTAATAAGGGAAAATAGGAGCCCACATCTCTGTAGAACGTAACCTTTTTCAAGGTATTCGTTGTTTCAAATATATCTGGTGTTCCTGCCAAGACCTGTATGTTGTAGCTCTGAAAGTTGCTAGGTGTCTTTCCATTCAGTTTTTGGGATCATGTAAATGGCTGAATCATGAAATGGCAACATGTGTTTGGGATACTAGAATGGGATCTCTGGATGACATCCCAGACTTTGCTACTGCTGGCGTTCTGAAGCTTTGGAATCTAGAAGCTCTTACCACCTGACTCCAGTAATATGGGATCCAACCACGGCGTTTTCAACACCAAGAAAAGAACAATGTACATTTGGTCCAGAAGCAATCTTTCCTCCTGCCAACCCTGTGCTTTCTTATGTACTGTACAGGAAATGTAGGAAAGTATCTGGCCATATCCTCTTGTTAGGACATATGACATTGTGCTGACAGAAACTAGGTTCTGAACTATGTGCAAGAGAAGAATGAGGTAGCACAAGTCTTTGTGCATTATGTTTGTGCAACCCATTACAAATTCCACTTGTGCAACCATTTGCAAAACTGAAAGATTCAGCAAAACCACTTGCAAAACTGGAAGATTCATTTGTGTGTCCTAATTACACCATAGGTTACCACTCTAAGGCTGAAGGAAGAGACCATCTTAATGATCCAAAGCTTTCACAATTACATTCAGAAGAAATATGGAATTGATAGAATCTCTGCTCCAAAGTCTACCAAAACGTTGCATATTCATTTTCTGATGCTTTTTACAATGTTTCATTATCATAGATGCCCAGTAGCCCCTCAGGAGGAATCCAATTCCCTTGAGTAGTCCCAGGATTCAGCCTAATATTTATGCCAGCCAGGAGCTGAACTTATGTAATTCGCTCCTCATTGAAATCACTAGGGCTGGGGAAAAGAACAAAGGACCACCAGATAAGTTTTCAGGACTTTGAAGTAGTAGAATGGATAGAATAGAACTGTGAGAGACTTGGATGACGGAGAGGATAAAGCCTGAACACAACAGGCACAAATGGCTGGATGGGTTGCTTGAGAATTAGGTACTATATTGCTATACATGTGTGTCTGGAATATATCATAAGAAAATAATAATTGCTCCTAGTAAGTCATGTCAGATCATTCAGGGTATCCTTTTTTTGTGCTAGTGATAAGGAGGACCATCATGTAGTTAGAGAAATTATAGGAAATCAATTGTAGGGGTTGTAATCAATTAGATTAATTATTTAAATCTGCATGCATTGGCGCATAAGTAATACAATAGAATGAAAAAGGTATACTTCCTTTGGTTTTTGATGATGTAGCTTTGTGTAGCAACAGGGTAAGTTTAGAAGAAGCAGTCTACCTTCTGTGATAAAGAAGAAGGAATGATTCTTTTTATGATTCTGTGATACTACTTACCAAGTTACAATTTTTAGAAATACTTCTATTAATTTCTATTTAATCTGCTGGCTGATAACTGGGGGTACTTTTTGGTTAATTAGGATATTTTACAGTTCAATTCTAGGCATATGTATGTATATTTGCATTTATTTATGTATATTTGGATAGAAAAGAGCCTTACAACAGCCTACACAGACTAGCTAATGCATGCTGGGAAATAAAGGACTCTTTCTATCTAAATATACCTAAGCTTATATCATTAAACACCACAGTTCTGTTTATACATTACCATTCTGAGAAGCAAACAAAGTGGTATTGAAAAACAAGGTTATTATGATTGAATCGTTGAGTAGCACAGACAAAAGATATATGCATACCCACTGAGCACCACATTGTCATCTTTTTCAGAGGTCAGCTTCACTGAACTTTGTGGGCTTTTCAAATGCTTTAGAAATGGAGTTGTCTTCGGCACGGTTATCCAAGTCAGCTGATACTCAGGCCAAAGAAATATCCACTGTAACATCCAATGAGGCTCAGAGTATGCCAAATATCTCTGATGTGTCACCTGAAGCTGTGCCTCATTACAGCCTTGCTCTGGAGAGAACTACAAATGACTTGAGCGCTGAAAATATTGACCATTTAGCATCTGGTGGTATGCCCCTGGTCAGTGCAGTGTGCAAGGTAAGAATGGTTGCCGCACCGGATAGTTGAACTGGTAGGAAGCATAATCAGAATGGCCACTCCTGTTAATGCCATGATGCGCTGCATGCCTGGAATACAGTGGAAACTGGTGGCTCCAGTGCCAGCAGGACTACTTAGACACTCTGGATTTTACTCTAAACCTTATAGGTGCTATTCATGGGGCTGAACACCCATGCAAAGTATGTTTAGCACCATGGATAGATCCTATAAAGTTCAGATTAAAATCCAGAGCAGGTGCTCTGCTTAAATTGGAGTCAACAGCCTCCATTGCTGGAATGTCCCAGGTAAGATCACTGGCAGTTCAATACATGGGATAGTCATATGCAGCCGTCATTCATGATGTTGTGGAAATCTCATGCTAAACAGTCCTGCTTTTGTATGCATCCACTTCATCTGGATGAATCCTTTGCAGAGTAAAATCCCTGGGAAGTTCAGACTCCATTAGTTCCTGTATAGATGCAGTTACCTTTTATGTCTCAGGCATGGATTCAAGGAAGCATGGGACCATGCATCCCATGCACTCTAGAGTCTTGGCACTTAGATTTCTTGAAGAGGAGAAATCCATGCAGCATACAGATGTCTTATAAAACCATGTGTGTGAGCTTCAAATGCTTATTTATGACATGGCATGTGGGTTGGTGATTCAAAGGGTCTGTTCAAGCATGCCAGAATTAGCTCTTTAGATCCCATCCTCCACATGTGTGTTACGGTGCATGTGGAATGTGGAATTCTGAATCAGAACAACAGTGTTCAGTAAGGTCATTCTCCTTTGCTGTTATGGTTATTTTGTTGAGATCAATATTAATTGTGCATTTCAATGTCTTTTTTTAACTCCAAGCTGGAAAGTGAAGAGTTTGGCTCTATGAATTACCCTCTTGGAAATGGCTCTTCTGCTATTGAATCAAAAGACATTAATGAGTTAGTTCTTCCTATCCACAATATTCTGGAAGAGCCTATTAATCTTTCAGTGAAGAAGACTCAGCCGTGTGCCTCCCCTCCCATACTTATCAGCAACACGTCTTGCATGCAGTCGCTTAATCCAGATCAAAGACATATTGAAGGTATCAAGGTTTTCCTTTTCTCCCTTGAATTTTTAAAAACATCTAACATTCTCCATTGCATATTGTGGTTATTTTAGGATAGCTCTTGCCATAATGCACAAAATTAACTATTTGGAGCAAATATTTGATGTCTACAGTACATAGACATAATAATAAGCCCATAGTTAATAATAAGCACCCCCTGACTAATAATAGGAAACAAACAGTTGATTTGACTGTCCAGGCCTAATTAGTTATTAGTGCATTCTAAGATATAGTGCATTCAGGTGACTTCAGGTGAGCCCAGAGAAGGTATTTCATGGATCTGATTGAGGCATTCACTACAAATGAATGCCTTCTGATGTTAACATAATGGCATTGGATAAGGCAAAAAGTATAACTGAAACTAGCCACCTTCTCTAAAACATAAACTATAAGAGAAAAATTTGGATTCAGACTTAAGGAAAACCAATGAGGCACCCCAGGTATACAGATTGTATGTTTTCTTTCAGAAAGATTCAGATATTAGGATGCAATAGACCTTCCCTGTGGTCTCTGGAAGAGAGCCCAGCAGGCCATAGAATACAACAGACCTTCTACTCATAGGTGGAAATAGAGAAAGGTCTACTGCACCTTCACAGAGAAAGGTCTCTTGCACTTGATTGGTGATGGAAAGCTCTACTGTTACTCCAGCTGTGATATGGGTGAAAAGGGGGTGTAGTAGATGCATGTCAAGGATGGATCAGGGGTTGCTCTACAGCCACTGGGGGAAACTGCATCAGTACATATCAAAAAGACAAACAAAGACATCATGAGTTTGGTAGAACTTGGGAGATGCCTGTTCTCCCATTCTTGGACTTTCTCCTCTCCTTAGGATGAATCTGTTAAATTATGAAGGAGATTGTTAGGATATTAAAAGCATTGTTAGAATGCTTGTTAGGATGTGTTCACCTCAATTTTACCCATTTTCATTTTTTGTAGATTTCCGTAACTGTGAACAGGAACACTTTGAAATGGAAATTAAAAGTAATCAGAGCAACAGGTAATCAAAATTCATGGAACATACTAATTGAAGGCATAGCTTCAAAAATGCATCCTTTTTACCCTGCTTTTGAAAGCAACAAAAATTACACCTATTGTTGAAATAACCCAGATAAATGGAAGAGATGAGATGAGAATCCTAGATGAGAATATCTAGAACAAATAGAAACTGAAGGTTGGCAGCACAAGTGAACTCATGTGCACAGCCTGGAACCTAGACCAACAGAATCCAGTATTATACTTGAACCACATTTGCTCATTTACATGGTTCTTAGTACTTTAAACTTCAGCAAACTTTTAGAAAAACATCAACACTCTGTGAAATTATTTTGAATGATACCGAAATATGAATTGATGCATCAGTTTAAAAACAGTGGGCTAAACCTGTTCAATCAGCAGAACTGGGGTGGGGTGCAATTCCGTTGCTTACACAGGAAGAAAGTCCTACCATAGTGGACTTCCACTGTCACCATGTTGGATCTAACCTGATACAACAAGAAGGTGAAATATTATTATTGTTTTCTGTGCAGCATTTGAATTTACATCTAAAGTTGTGTGAGTGGCGTTCCCCCCTACAGTCGCTCTGTGTGCTATTAGGATCTACTCTGGAAGGTCCCCCAGTCCTCTGGAGCAGATTGAGGAAATAAGTGCAGCAGATAGGGGAAGTCATTCTGTTAGCGGTTTCCATTCTGTGGGCAATCAGGGTTGGAAACAAGCCTTGGTGTGTAACATGCTTTGCAGCCTAATTCATTTTCCTAACAACTCAGTGACTTGATCATTAAATATTTCTAATTTACAGATTAGGAAAGTGAGCTGAAATCTAACAACTTCTAAAGCAATTTTTTCCATATCTAGGCTCAACAACTTCATTATTGGATTATTGTGGTATTGTAGTTTTCTATATAATGGCCACTTATATATATATTTATATATAATAGTGATTATTAACTTTGATGCTAAGGTATCATGCTAATATCTTATTACTATGGCACTTCAATTATGTGTTCTGGGGATAACTGCTTTGAGCTACCAAAGGGCAGTGTGCACAAATATGTGTCATGTAAATGTATTGGGATAATCCATCATGCACTTTCTGGACTGAGATCAGGAGTGCATTTGCCTAGCACACGGTTGACACTGTCAACTATGGGATTGTGGAAGCTGAGTTTAGAAACTGTCTTATTTCCCCCATCCCCTAACTGACAGCAGGGGCCAGAGGGGAGACTATTTAGAGAGTGTTGTGCAGAAAAGTCTATTTAGCCTACTGTTGTACACGATGATCTATTGGTTCTAAATCATGAAGCATGAGATTTTGTTCTTGAAGTGTCACATTAATTAATAAAATCCTATTAGTGTATTCTGGTTAGCCATATAAAGACAAGCCAGCCTGTCAAATTATATGGCAATAATAAAGGTAAAATGGAAGGATGATCTTTAAGATAACCGATAAAGGCAATCCAGTATTTAACATTGATTTTAGAGCTTGTGCCAAAGAAGTGAAAATTCCTTATGTGCGACTGGAACGACTGAAGATATGCACATCGGAGTCCGGAGAGCTTCCAGTATTTAAACTGCAGCCACAGAAAGGAAATCATGACGGGACCTTCCTGCTGATAATTGAATGTGGTTCTCAGTCTTCAAGCATGGCTATTAAGGTGAACTTGACTCAGATGGTTTGGGTGCTGTTTGCCATTTCTTCCATGCTATCCTGACATCTTTATTCATTGATGGCCTTTGTCAGTAGGCTTGCCTATGGTGACACACACAGACCTCTGGCATCCTCTCCAAAGCTGCTTTTAACCCTGGGGAGGCAGGGTGGGAAAGGAGGGACAAATGCCGCAGGGAGGTCAAAGCTGGAAGCCCTTTTGGCTTTCCCAAAGAAAGATGGAGTAAATATGGTCCTGGCAGGGCAAATGCTGATAGACAGTATCAGCTACATTGCCCTCTGATTTCAATAGGATATTGTCTTTAAACATGTAGAATTAGAAGAACTGGCAACCAGAAATTTCAAATGTATGAAAAAACTGCTTGGGGATTTTGATTATGGCCAACTGGTTTAAAACTTTTAAAGTTAGTTAATCATTTGGCTTTAATTTATTTGCCTGATTAAGTAAATGCCAATACTTTTTCCAAAGCTCGAGTACAGGTACCAAAGATACTGAAGTGCAAGTGAAAGTGCAAACTTTCAGAAGTGTAAGATTATACAGTTTAATATATAGGGTTCTACCACTTATTATAGAAACTGGAATTGTTAAAATATTAAAGCCACAATGACTTTGAAATGAACAAATCACGATTTTCAGTATAGTGGAAGATTCAAATTTAAGAGGTAACACAATTCAATTCAGCTGGTTTCAGTTTTCTGTGGTTGTTAATGCTAGAAGGAATACTATGTTTTACTGCATTGTATTTAGGATTTCAACATTTTTGAACAACACAGACACTGGTGTTGGCTTATTAATTAAAATAAATTAGAATGTTTTCATATTGAAAGGAAAATTAGTCTATCTGTGGACTCAAACTGAAACAAAGTACATTTAAAAATTTCTCTTCTCATATATCTGGCACAACGAGGAGGGGCTCAGATACTCTGAAGGGCACATTGCCATTCAAGCTTCCGAATCTCACTTTCACTAATTAGTTGGTTAATCTATTGATTAAACCAATTAAAGCCTCAGGCATAATTTTTAATGAATGTAACTAGGGACAATGCACATATTTGACATCTCTCAGTATGGCCCCCCAATACCATATCTTTTAGGGAATAGCCATGTTTAATGTGCTATGACTTACTGAGAAACTGTAGGATAAGAACATTCAGTTATCAGTGCAGTAAGACTGTAGGCATTTATCCACTACATTTCAGTTTCTGCAGTATTTCAATGACTGTGCATGGAAATGAAGGGTTTTTAAAATGTCAAATTCACTTTTTCTCCAAGGTCAATCAAGGCAATCTACCTGAAAGACTGAATCCCATGCCTGAAAACCTGGAGGAAAGGAGGATCCCCACAAACCAGCCACCTGAGCAATTGCTGCTTCCCTTGGTAGACCACAGGTTCAGTAATAGTATGAAAAAATCTGTGCTTACCCAGGAAGATCACCCCATAGAGAATGAGGATTTCTGTGCTGTTTGTCTGAATGGAGGAGAGCTGCTGTGCTGTGATTATTGCCCAAAGGTGTTTCATCTCTCATGCCATGTTCCTGCGTTGCTCAGCTTTCCTGTGTGAGTATCTAGAGAGTACATACAAGGCATATCCATTCCATTTAGCACATGTCTAAATGTCTGAGACTTTCAGAGCTAGCTCTTTGCATTGAGATTTATGAAAGTGGGCCTTTTCAAAGATGCTTATTTTTTGGATTTGTCCTGCTGTAAGAAAACGTACTTGTGGTAGCTAACAGGCCAGCCTGGAAGCAGGGAAAAAACTGAATGGCATCTTAGAAACAATGACTGGGCTTGTTGCTCCTCTTTCTCACAGAGACCTTAGTTCAGGCTGAAGTAGGAAGTGCTCTTAGGTAGTGGGAGATGACAAAAGACAAAAATGAGCTGGGCTTCCCGAACCTTAAAAAAAGGTACCTCCACTAAAGCCAATGAGATTCATCAAACTGGGATATGGATACTTAGACCCAAAGCCTGACTCTGTACTCATTGGTTTCAACAGTGGAACAAATGTAGGAAGCTGCCCTCTTCTGAGCCAGACAACTGGGTCATGTAGGTCAGCACCATCTGACCAACTGGCAGTAGCTCTTTAAGGTTTAGAGAAGAATCTTTCCCAGGCCAATCTAGAGACACAAGCGGTAGAACCTGGAACTTCTGCGTGCCAAGTGTGAGCTTTACCACTCAGCTTAGCCTTCTTCCATGCCATATGCCAAAGAAACCATTATGGGTAATGTACATTTCTTTTATAATCTTTCTTTAGGGATGTTGAATAACTTTAACATAAAGTCATGTATGAGGTACATAAGAGCCTAGCTGTTGTGAGCTGGTCTTTTTCCTCCTTCCCTCTGGTTCTAAAACTCAAAACAGTCCTTTGAAATGCAGTTCTTTTATTGAGATTCCTCAGATAACAGAATGGGTTGAGCTCTAAATAGCCTTCTTCCAAAGCTGGAAAGAGAAGCCTCTGCTCATGTAAAGAGTGGAATCCAGATGGGGACCTCTCCCTCAGTCCCTTTGTTTCAGTAAAGCTTCCGGCTCTACCCTTTGGGAGAACAGCAAAGCCCTCCAGCTGAGCAGCTCGTTTCTCCTGCCGCCTCTACGCTGAGCCAAGGACTGGGTCTTATACTTGCTCCTCCCCCCTCTCCCAAATACCCTTCTTCCCCTTCCAAAACAGCCAGTGGTCATGCCTGGCCTGAGAAACTTCACTAGGCAGAGTCGAGGGAGCTTCAAAGACTTTGGGAGCTTCAAAGCCATTGAACAGCTTGCAGTGCACAAATCTTAATACAGTGTGAAAGCACTGGACAGAATTTTTGTCTATGATGAAAATTATGGCAAATACCGAAGGAGTCCCTGATGGTTTTGTGTGTTTTTTCATGCTAAAAGCCAATA